ACTTTTGAAGACTGCGTGAGTCGCGGTCGAGGCGCAGAGCAGAGAGTTGCGACCAGTTGCCTCAGTGCAAGTTGGATCGCTACATGAGGTGGGTGTGCATAGTTAAACCACATGCGTGTATAGTTAAACTACATTGTCTAGAGGATAAAAAAGAGGAATTTATATTAAATTGATTAATTTATTATTTAGTAAGTAGGCCTGGGCATTTTAAACGTATAGTCATAGCAGGACTGCCGTCAACTGGTAGCGCTTAGTAGTGGTCTAGTGGTTGGGCGACCGGACTCGTCATCGTGAAATTGTGGGTTCGGGGGTTCGAGCTTCAGCTCAGCCCGGCTTTGTGTCATTGGAAAAGGTACTTTACATGAATTTTCCTCTTTTCACCCAGGTGTACACGTACATAGATTGCTAAAAATCGTGTCAGTGTGTTAATGTTTCAGCGCCAGTAAAAGTAAAGTGGTAGATTGCACTGTATTCTTCCCAGGAAGTTGAAAGGCCATCAGGTCTGGAGTAATAATATAGACTATAAAGCGCATAGAGCTTGCTGCTGAGCCGGAATCTGTGCTATACAAATGTTAATCATCATCATCATCATTATCATTATCATTATCATTATCATTAATATTATTATTACTATTACCAATGACATGGCTTTTGGTCTTTTGACAGGTCCGTATTTTTTTCGGTACTCCCAGCAGTGACTGATTAGGTGGATCTCCTCACTCATTGTACTTTCTATGATTTCCCTTATTCTGCTGTCCCCGTCGTTTTATGCAAGAAAAATTCTGAAATTAAGCAAACTGTGCCCAAAAATGTGAAATTATGTGATTGTTTTCTTTTTTTCTTAACAAAGAATGATAAAGGGAAAAAATCTGAAATTATGCCTAAGATTATCAAATGTTGCTAAATTATGCGAGGTGAATTAGACAACGGGGGCAGATTCTGTGAGGTTGACGTACTCTACAGCAGCAAGCAGCCTACAGCAATAATCCCTGAAGTTCTAGGTCACAGGTATCAAACTCAAAGCCTGCGGGCCGCATCCAACCCAGCGAACAATCACATCTGGCCCGTGAGAGAATCTTAGGCAGTCCAATCTTCCATAATACAGAACCTTTCTCCAAACGTAATCGAATTTGTTGACAAGAAAATATGTCAAACATCCATCTCGGAAAACGTGGCTCAAGAGTAAAAAACTGGATCACCTTTATCTTGCAATCGTTGTAACTTTTGTCTGTTTTATTTCATATTATTATTCTTTAAAAAGGTTTGGTTTTTCAACTCTTATCAGGCTGTGAAGGTGCAAAACTCCTACTAAACTAAACTACACTTGTTTTTCCACTGCTCAATGTGTGTTGATTCAGTTTGACTTGCAGCCTACAGTGTACTTTGAGTTTGGCCCCCTATGCGATTGGGTTTGACACCCCTGCTAACACATGTGGACGACTAGTGCATTACAATAACACTGCTCAAATGGACCATTTGTAAATGAAAGATGATCACTTTTTTCCACAACGAATTTCTTTCCTTATCACTGATACCATGGGCAGGCCGTTAGCTCAGTTTGTACCATGCTGGATTATGGAGTGAATGGCCTCAGACTAGTTTTCTTGAACTCAGATAGTTTTTAGGCTCTCAACATCGGAGACGGGTGTTACATTCTGAGGTGCTGCCTCTTAAATTACCGAATAGTATTGATAGAGCCGTTAAATCCATACACTTACTTACAGACACCATCATTCACTTGAACGGCGGCCAGGACTCCTCTACCAACCAATCTCCTAATTGTCACCAAATTATGGAAACAGTCACTCCGGACAACTCACAGTTCTACAGTTTTAAAGACACCAGCGATCTCTATATCAAGTACAGGCCAACGTACCCAGAAAGACTCTACGAAAAGGTCATCAAGTTTTGTCAAGAGTCGGAGACTTGTACCTGGGAGCTGGCAGTAGATGTCGCCTGTGGCTCTGGACAGAGTACGCTGCCCTTGGCAAAGTTATTCAAACAGGTTGGCTGCACTTTCAAAGAATTATGTAGTTCTGTGTGCGTGGGTGTTTTTGTATTGAAGAATCCAATATAAAGTTTCTACCATCTGTCTTAGATGTCTTAACGACAAAGCCCCATCCTATCTGAGTTTTTAACAGTGTATTCCACCTCGTGAGTTACGGTCATCCACAGATGCAACAAAATTCAGAGCCCCAAGAATAAAATTACGATCTTTTGGTGAGAAAAGTTTATCATTTTTTTGCCCGAAATTCTGGAACACCTTGCCCCAGGATCTTGGAGAAACAGCAAATTTGGATAGGTTGAAGCGACTGCTCAAGACTCGTTTGTTCAATTGTTACAGTGTGTTAATAAGTTCTGATTTTTTCATATACATGTACATATTATATTTACATTTTTTCCCTGTCCTTTCGTGTATAGTTAATAATATATGGTTGTGCAAGTTCTTCTTTATGTGATTAAACTGGTTTTTCTTGCTTCTGTGAAATATTTTTTCTTCTATGAATGATTAAGTGATTGGTGAACAACGCTTAGAGCTTATACTAGTATGGGTTAGAGCACTATATAAATGCAATCTATTATTACTATTACGGTTATTATAATAATAATAATAATAATAATAATAATAATTATTATAATAATAATAATTA